ATTTTCCATTTCCCTGAGAATCCCTATCAAAATATATCCCTCAAATTTATGCAAAGATGACTGTAGATGTTCGGGAGATCACCCATGGGTGTTAAGAATCATCCAATCAAGGAAGAATAATATTGCAACATGGGAAATTGGAATTTGCTCCTTTCACACACACACACAAACCCTTAAACCCATTTCCCATGTTCATTTGTGTATAATGTTCATGTATCAAATTTGAAAATTGCCATTCCGGCGACATCCTTAATTGCTGGAATAAATTCAACCGAGAGACCCTCTCTCTGGATCGCTTTTTCGCCCGCAAATCCTCTCTTGGAGTGAGAGGAGAGATAGAGACCCGTCAGGAAGGGCAAGAGTGTAAGAAGGGGATAATTAACAGATTTTATATTATACGGCAGACTTCGGAGACACAAAACTGTCAAAACTTTGTGTGCACACTCTGGGTGGGTGGATGATGTTCTCATGGGTGTGGTGGTCGTCTCGATATCAATGGTCTATGACATCACACCCGAATTTCCTCAGTGGAAGTGGCTAATGAACGATTCGAGCAATTAATTACAGTGTCAATGCTTTAAACTTTGTATATACAGCCATGAGGAAAGGGGGCGTGTGAGCTTTTTTCGGGCGCTCACAGAAAAAAGCTCCCTAACTTTCCCGTTGAAGGCGTTAACGAAGATTATCCCAAGTGAGTTTACCGACTCACACTTCTATATATAAATTCAATAAGAACAGCACGTGGAAGACAGAAGAGAGAAATAATTTCCCAATTTTATCCCCAAAGTATTTTCTCGTGCTTGATGAATTAAAAAAAAATCTCTCCTGCAATAAATTCATTGTGCAGCAATAATTCTCGACAAATAGCCAAGTTCGTGGATTGGGCAGAAATTGGGCACATTCGGACGATAAATCAAGTTCTTTGCCACTTTTCCTTTGTCAGGCTTCCTCTTTTCTTATTCCGCGTGGCCTCATTCTCGTACACACACACACACACTCACACGCATCCAAATCCTTTGGACAACTCGGCTGAGCTTTCAGGATGGGCAGGAGGGCAGTGGGTGTCAAGGGATGGAAGCTTGCACAAAAAGACGTACACCGTCTTTTCGCATTTGCATAAGAGTTTCTTGATGTATCCAAAACATCATCAATTACCATACCGATAGCGCTGTACAGAACTTCGCAAAAACTTTTCCGAGTTTTGCTCCATGCTAATTATGCTTTGCAACAATTTTTTTTTTTGCGTTCTTTAATGTTTGTGGAAAGTAAATGATATCCTTGGCAACTTTAAGAAAAGTTGTACATTGTAACACTGAATTAGCACATTAAATGACACAGTGTCAATTATAATAACTGTTTAAACAACAGACACACTTGTGTCGGCGAATGTCTCAACCTTGGGCAGAGCAAGGGTGAGCTTTTGCCGGTCAACGGACGGGACTAAATAAACAAAATATCTCTCCAATTGTCACGATGGGCTTTTTGTGGCGTCCGATGAAATTGGCAATATTGGGTGGAGTCTCTAAAAGTAAGATATGTTGTTGGGTTATAAGCAAGAAAAGGTTAGATTTCATGCAATATAAATTATCCCTCGGGTCCATAAAAAGATTGTCACAATTTATCCACTCACGTCGTGGGCAAAATGTGTGGAGAAGAGAGGGTTGATTTTAAAGAACAAACCCCATTTGTCAGTCAATGAACTATATCTTATGTTCAACTTTTTCCGCACTCGTTGAGCTTTTTATCTGGTCGATACTCTGGCGAAGAGTTATGACGCTTTTTTTCTCTCAGGCGCGACTCTCAATGATAATGCAAAATTGCGAGAATATATGTTGTGCGAATGTGTTCAGCATTAGCTATCGCTTCCATCGCGGTTTGTCTTTTCGGTGGAGGGAAAATGAAAAATAAATTCTCCTCTGGGGAGCAGTTACCCACAAATGGTCGCACAAGGAGTGGCGACAAACTTTTGGCCAAGAATTTAAAGTGCTTTCACATTTTACATGAGCAATCAAATCCGATTTCACTTAAATCATTTATCCGGGCATGTGCCAAAAGTAGCATTTCTCACACTTTCCTTCAAATGCTCACATTGTTTGGTGGTGAAATTCCCATCCATGACTGTGTCTCCAACTGAAGATTTGTGCTCAAAACTGGACTTTTTCTTTTTCTCGCACAGCAAAAGTTCACCGTCAAATTTTCATGTTCCTGGCTGCACATTCTCCAGGACCAATTTATGCTCTCTCTCTCTCTTTCTGCTCTGCCGGAATAACATAAAATTCCGCCCAGTGCAAACTCTTGACCCAATGTCTCATTACTTGTGCCGTGTGCTGCAACTAACTGCTCTTGTGTTTATTCATTTAAGCTCGTGTGTGCCTTTTTCGGAACGACGGAGCTTTCACTTCCGCCCGGAAACTGCACACGTACAGTATAAAACTTTCATCTGACAGTCAACGGAAATGGTTGAAAAAATGAAATTTCGTTTTTCACATGGAACGTCGGAGAAAACTATTATTCATCGTGGGAGTGAGAATGTTCCATAACTGCTTTATAATTGCATTCTGCAGATGCCTTTTCTTATCATCCAGAGCTCTTCTTTCGCCACTTCCTATCCCCCTTTTTGTCACCGAAGGCGATGGAACAAAAGGATATACGGAAACACTTCCAAATAAAACATTTTTCTCGTTATTATATGCATGTTTTATGCGGTTTTGATATGGGTAACTCGCAAATGATAGTGCAACACAATAATTTTTTTTTAGTCATAAACATTATCCGGAAATTGAATTGTCTGGTTATACATATTAAGGTGCTTTTTCTCTCTTGCTTGCGCACGTAATTTATGATATACGCAATGTTTGAACATGAAAATGTCCATGCATTAATTAAATGCAATAAAACACTGATTTTATAATGACTCTTAATGCACGAGTTGCCAGTAAATAAGTGAATATAACATCGAAAAGTTGCGAATTAATAATACTCGCCGTATAGTCAAGTCCCTAGCAGTTTAATTCGAAAATGGCTGTGGAAGCGAGCAAGAAGTAATCCAGTAAGAATCTATTTTAATTGTGCGTGCAGAAATGGAGGAAACTTTCAAGTGATTCTTCACATTTTCATGTGGCTTAATTTTCTTAATGAAGCAGCAAGACGACAAAATTGGAGTCGAGTGTCAAATTAATCTTCATTGCATCGGCATCAGGGAGCAGCAAATAAGTGGAACTCCGTCCCAACCACCCCGAGAGATGAGTGTGAGGGCAAAAGGCTGCAGAAGCGCACTATAAATTAGCAATTATAACTTTGTTCTTTCGCAATCTGGTGGAGAAACATCTTCCGGCACGAGGGATTCACCCCTCCCAGTGTCATCAAGTCACGGATTTCTCACTTTGGGGAGCGAGGGTGAGGCAGCCCGGGAACTTTGGCACTTAAAAGTGTGTGACTGGTATCTGGAGATACCCACTTTTCTGCCCATTTACACCCTCCTCCTGACTTGTTGTTCCGCTCACACAAGATTTATACTCAGCTTTTTTCTCAATCCTCAACGACCCAGTCCTGGTAATGCCTTTTGTATTGTGACAATCGCCGAGGCAGCGAAAATCTCCGCACGGGAATGCAGAACACTTTACTTAAATGTCTCGTAATTTATTGAATTCTCCACTCATTAGAGAGGAAGAAAATTCTTAAGTTTTCCTCGTTCATGGGAGCTTTTGTTACAATCTTTTGCCTTTTTTATCTCAATCTCTTCAGTGCTTTTCCCGAGCATTTTCACGAATGGGCATTCTCTCTTCCTCACTCTGCATTCCCGCGAAATGTGGAATCGTCGAGCCGAAAAGAGGGCATATCTACATACAACCACTGTACTTCCAGATTTATTTCAATTTTTTCCTACCTACAGAGATCAAGGAAATTCCTTAACCCTTTTGTAAAGCTGTGCTGTAAAGATAAAATTTCGCTTGGTGTAATCAATGTGATTACATTTCTTCAGTATTCCTTCAAGATGATAATCTTTATCCAATTTCAAATGTATATTTGTAAGAAAATTGTACACAGTTGCACAAATAGCAGACATTATGATAATTTAGATGAAGAAGGCGCAACTCAGTGAATAAAAGGAAGTCAGGAATGAAAGCAAGAAAAGGAGATATGAGAGAAATGTAAGAGCTTAATATTTTCAACTTTATGAAATGAAAAATATATGTGAATCTCTTAACATAGTCTCAAGACTGGTAAATGGAACATAAAGAGCTTATTTTATTTTATTCATAAAAAATATAACTTGCATTCTCTCTGCCGCCCCGAAAAAAAGAAAGGGAAACTTTTCGCCCGTAGACTCATTTTGCAAAGTGGATGGATGACTTTTGAAGTGGAACATTCGTATTAATGCCGCTTTTTTCGCTGACTTTCACCCGCTTGCGTTGAGTCTTGCGGTGGGCGAATAATTTTTAAGTAAATAAATAAACTCTCCTCTCTAGAGTTGTGTGTTCTCGGCAACAATTAAATAGGCTAATTTCTTCGTATTCCCTGTTCTGGGTCAACAATGTAATTTTCAAGGGATGTTTTTTTTTCTCTTCATAAATCTCTGAGAGTATTTTCAAATTTTCCACCTCTTTGTGTTCTGCCAATGTGAAAAGAGCAACTTTATAAGCTCATTTCGAACAATGAGACGAACTTTTTTCTCTCCAAATAAATAGCCATAGTCAGTGAAGAATGGGAAAACAGGGAGCAGAAGAATGGCTGGTTGGAAATTGAGGCTAAACGTGGCGAAGATGGCCCCAATAGATTGGCTTGACAAAACGGGATATTCATGTATGATTCTGTCCTAATATTCCTCCTTTCTCATTTTTCTTTGCAACTCCAATATCTTGGGGATGAGAAATATTTGCTGATTCACCCACTGACAAATACATATTAATGTCACGACAGAAGCCCAGATGGGGAGTGTCCTTTTGTCCTCAATGGGAGATGTCCTCTAAAGAATTCACACTCTTTCTTCTCGCCAACAGATAAATCACGGGGAGACGCAGTACTTCTACACCACTGACAACCTCATCATGGCGCACGCAAGCCTCCGCCTGCAACTCCAAAGCAGCCACTTTGGCGGCCCGGTTCCCAGTGTGGGCACAGGCCTGGTAATGCGGTGTACCGCCGAAATCGGGAACCTCTATCAAGAGTACACGGAAGTCGAGCTTGGAGTGCCGCAGCGGGATCCAATTCCAGCGCGAGGTTTGTGGATGTTCTCATTACCATTTGCACTGCATGATTTTCATTTTCACACCCTGAAGACCTTCCACAGCAAGTCTGCAGCGAGATGACGAGATTTCATGCTTTCGACTTTTAATTAGTGTTTTCAGATTGCTGGAAACTCTGCGAGTGTTTGAGAATCACTGCGCAAATGGGAACTTGTACCTATTATTTACTCATTACGTACAGCGAATCAGGATGCGAAGAGGATAATCAGTGAAATTCATTTGCAATAGTTATTCTCAAATGTTATCGTAAACTTCAACATGAACAGACAGACAGTTTTCCTGAAATACGAAAAATCATGTCAATTTATTACACTCATTTCCACGCAAAGAACAGTAATAACACGATTTTTTTTTAACCCACAAAATGTGTGAAAGTAAGCGGTTGTAGGTGGATAAATTGTGGTAAAAATCGTGAAAAGCTTAGTGAATAAAATTGCTCAGAGCCAAACTCCAATAAAACAAATATTTTCCAATATTATTGCGTTTCCATCGAGGAGCTTTTTGTCGGCAATGAGCCCATTTACCAACAGTAGTTAGTGTCGAGGGATTTTTCCCGGGCATCGCTGGTCTATGGTTGAAAATGGAAATGAATTGATGTAACTTTTGCTAAAAATTCATATTTATGATACTGTACAGGCACTGTTTCACACATTGACTGCGTTTTTCCTCCCATATCACACTTTTCGCGTCTCCACAAGTGTTTTCCTCTGTGGAATGGTAATCAAATTATTTGATAAAACATGACAATTACAGATGCATTTTGACTGAGGTTCTCTGAATTTTCCACTGTCGCGCGGTCGAAAGCTCATCGGAATTGCATATCTCCCGGCGATATTCAGTGAATTAGGCGACCGTTGGCCATTGTTCAAAATTGCTATGATTCTCCTCTGGTTTTTTTTTTGTGCAAATTTGATTTACTCTGCTCTTTTTTCCCTTACTATTTCAGTGACATCATCTCGATCTCATTGTCATCACGCAGATCTCCGGCACTTGCTGTTTACTTGGATTGCATCATTTGTGATGGTGCGTTGCGTCAATGTGAGATAGTTACTCTACTATTAAGTACACTTCTTAAGATTTAGCAGCAGGAAGATGAGAAAAAAAATTGTGAGACAATGACACAATGGAATACTCCACTTAGAAGCTTCTTGATGAATTTATAGGACAAAGAGAGGCGATGACGTGTGAGGAAATTATTAGTGAAGAGTTTGTATGCGACATTGAGAAATTTTTAGTTAAAGAAAAATATACGCATTTTAATAGACAATTAATGGTGTTGCATAAGGATGAAAGACATGATTTCCATTACATCTAAGGTAAGGCAGCAGCGCAGTAATCAATAAAATATGTGTAGGTAGAGGAATAAAAAAGAGATCAAAAGAAAGAATGTAAATATTCAAGTTCTATCTCACAAAATGATTAATTCCTTCTGAAGAACTATTTTTCCCCCATACTAAAGATTAATTGAAAGTGTTATATTTGTATAATCATATCTTATGGTAAGACTCAATGCAGATGGTAAAAATAGAGATACTTTAATGTAAATGGCTGTCCGTCCTCGAAAGAGCGATTACTTCATCGAAAGCATCTTCTATATAAGATTAAGTGTCTCCCGCTGTAAGAATTCATGCGCGACAGTACATAAATATTTCACATCAATGGAATTGTCAAATAAAATGAAATAATTGACATAGAAACTATCCATATAAAATGATTCCTTTATTTAAACAAAGAGCTCCATGCAATGTTAAAATGTTTAATAATTTCGTAAATGGCGAGGAAAAACATACAACTAATATCCGGAAAAATGTCGAAAATTAATTGAATTTTAATGTTTATACAATAAAATGTAATAAAGGACGAAAAGGGCAAAAAGTAAACAATGGAAGGAATTATTAAAATTACTGATATGAAAATCGAATAAGCCTAAAGGGAATTAATGTATAAATATTACTATTGTAAAATATCTATAATATAAATGAATGGAAATAAATTTCAAACATGAATACTCAATAAATCAAAAGCCAGCATTTTTTTTTGTTCAAAATCCCACAACATTCAATATCTTCAATACGCTTTTGTTGGCAGTTTCTGACGAGCGTCAAATTGAAAAGATACCTCAAAAGTTCTCTGGGGTGAGCAAAAAGCGCGAGAAACTAGTTTTCCTCTCTTGGATACTAATTCATTTCGCATTGACATTGTTTTTACCCATGCACTTAGCACGAGAGGAACAAGTGAAGCACTTGAGTGGTATTTCTGAAAAACATTGAACTTGGCCCATAACTAGCATAGAGATATTAATAAATACATGAGGTCGGTTGGGACAAAGGAGGAACAAGCAGAAGCGTACACAGTTGCAGATTCAACACGATCATAAATCATTCTTTTTCGCCAACATCTTGATTTGTCCAAAACTCCAGTGTGGAAACAATGAAAAAGTGAACATACAAACGCTTGATGTGCATAAATAAAATCGATGAGATAATTTATTGTGGCGATTTTGCAATATTTTTAACAAACAATTAAAATCATTCAGTTAAGTATTCGCGCACGAGTAATGCATTTACAGCAGGGGGTGATCAATGGGCGGAATTTGTGGAGCACAAGAGAAGAGAGAAAATTGCGGCAAAACCTAGAAAAAAGCAAAAAAAAAACCGAACGAATTTAAAATTTCATCAATAATAAAGTGTGGATTATTAATTTACATGAATTGATATGTTTATTGCATGAAACATTTCGATTCATTTTTCTTTTGCATAAAAAACTATAATTCCATTAAACTAGTTTTGCACAAAACCATGAATTTTAAATTCACAGGTTTGTGACTTTTCAGTAATAACACCCAGAGAAAAAAGAACATTTTTTCATGTAGTTTTCCGCCTTTGGAAACCATCACGACCTCCTCTCTCACATTTCACCACATCGATGGAATAATAATTCATTCAATCAGCATGTTAATCCAATAAATAAAATATGAATTCAACAAATCAAGCGAAAAATTTTATTTATTGCAAATTCTATGGACATTTACCGCCACTTATTGGGGTTAGGAAGTGGGATTTTGGGCGGAACACTCAAACGCTGTTTCAATATTGGTGGTGAAAAAGCAACGTAGAGCGTGTTTACCGTCATCGCAATTGATGAATTAATTCCATCTAATGCTGATTTATAATGCAAAAAGTGATAATGTTTGCGGTGGCGGACACGAAAAGCGATCTGTTGGACTTTTGCCGCAAACTTTTCCCGCGCGTGGAGTAATTTTCAGGCATGATGGGGATGGATTTGGTGCTTGCTGTCCGCCGTTTTGAAGTAAAATTCGCATTTTTAATTGCGCCCCGGGGTGGGTACGCGATATGGGGCTGGGCGTAATTCAATTCCAATGAGATCGTCAGCCCGTGGCGGTGGGAAAAGGGCGCCCACAGCCGAAACTTTCCGTGTGGGACTGAAGCGAAAGGGAGCGGATTGTGGTCTGAGGGCTGTTGTGTCGGTTTATTTGGTTGTTGTGCGGCGAACGCTGAAGTTTTCGCTGTGCGGGAAAACGATAAAGTTTTCCAGTGGAGTGCCAATGAGTCTGGTGTGGTCGAGATGTTTGCACTCTGGTAAGTGGCTCCCTGACTCCTCACACGACACCCAACCAGCAACTCTCCTTGGCGCCGCTTCCTCACACGGAACGAGTGGCTTCCACCCAGCCACCGTCGCCCACCGAGAGCTCAAAAGTGCTGCGAAGACATTGGGCCAAGCACCACGAATGCCCAATTCGTAATTTATAGTCTGACAAAAGTATACACAACAAATGGCACGGCTATTTCTCACAATCCACCCTCATCGAGAGTCTCGATGGAAAAAAAACACGACTTCTTGGAGAGTTGAAACAAATTTTGATATATTGTGGTGACTTTTTGTTAATTTTCTGATATGAGAGATGTGACAAAGGACTTCTGGAAATAGTGCCTTGAAATGGATTCAAAGATGCTCCAAGATTCTGTCCTGAATAATTTTTCCACGAATTGTATCTCAGAAAAAAGAACAACAGTTACTCAACATTTTTGAATAAGGAATGTACGTACTTTTGCGATGCATGTAAACTCCGGGTTAAATCTTGCATTTTCTAATGGGAAATTGTGTCAAAGAGTACTGAAGCGCTATATTAAATCATTTGCTTGAGAAGTAACTTGAGAGAGTGCTGCAAAGCTTGATGATAAAAGAGCAGAACTTGGCATTTCTGCGTTGTCCTTTCTTTGTCCTTTGACTTCCTTTGAGCGCTCATTCAAATTTATATGCATGAAAAATTAAATTTTTCCTGTTCATATGGAATGTCCCGGCATGAAATGAAATATTTTAAAGATGCTTTAATTTGTCGGTAATTCAAACACTCAAGAGTTCAGTGAATACTTGCTATCCATTGATTTCTATAAACTCCCTTCGGATTTTCACAAACTACCCGTGTTGAGTGAATAACTTTCGTCCCGACACACCTCATGTGTGGCAGGAAGAGGAATTCACATCTATTCAATTCACTATTTGGTCTCAAACCCATATTTGAAAGTGCATTGCAAAGTAGCTTTGATCCTCTCCTAATGGATATTCACTTTCCATTCCGTTTATTGGCAGAGTGTTTATCACCTTGACTGGTGAGTTCACACTGCGCCAAGTTATTTGTGCACCATCGTGTGCGATGTTGATCGGTGCTTGGGAGAAAATTGATGTGACATGCCTATGAAAACACCTTCGCTTAAACCTACAAATGATCGTTAACAGTGTAATTGGTGATGGTGGTTCACTGGCAATTACCACACTTACGCCATTTATACGCACTCTATCCCCCATTAAGAAGGCTTCTTTTGTTGCCTCACTCCAGCGGCAAATTGACGTGCGGCGGCTCTTCTTCATACTCAAGGCCGCCGCAACAAGTACAATGGCACTTGACTTGGGCTCAAAAATGGTTCGACAGGTTGGATAAATTCCACATGCATAGTAAAACAATAAGAAAAAGAGCGCACAGACCATCGATGATGATGTTTCATCTACAATCTCATAGGCATGCGAACGCACTTAAATTAGACTTGCACAGTTTCCAATGCTCTGCGGCAAATTTCACTTGACAATGTCAACGGCACACGATTTGCAATTTTGACCACTATATGGTTAATAATGAGATAATGAAATTGCAGCAAATTAATATTTCACAAGGTATTGAGTGGGAAATTGCAGTGAATAATTTAATAACATCACCACTTAATTACCACTCAAATTGTGCTTTTTACTGGGTTTTTTATTATTAAATAATTGCCATTACATTTTGGCAATGTTGCGAGAAAATTCGAGATAAAGCGATTAAAAATTGAAGTTCAGAGAGCTTAAGCTGCTTATTTCACTTTCCGGGCACGTTCGTGGGGAAAGAGAAAATTATGAAATTAATTGGGCTTGATTTAGAACACAGTTTGCAGTAAAAACTAGAGTGCATTACAAGTGAATTTTATTGTGTGAAATAATTGAAATTTCTGCATAAACACAATCCTAGGAGGAAATGGATATAAGAAGCATGTGAGAAATTATTTTAGTTTCCAACACTTTACAATAATTGCCATGCAAAGTTTTAACGCCTGCAATGAACGCCCGAAAGCAACAATTTAGCCACAATTTTATCATTTAAAACCTAATAATGGGTGAACACATGAATTAAATTTTCGCCTGAATTGCACTACGGGGAAAATTAATGGATAAAACATGCGTAGAGCGAAAGAATACTCGCGAACACCCAATTTTTGGAATTGTCAGTGGGTAATTGTGCAGTGAACTCCGCGGAGTTCTGCGTAGCATTTTCGCATAGAGTACTTGCGCGAATGGGATTTAATTAATTGACACATTATAAGTGGGTGTGGTGTGAGCGAATAATTAGCCCTAATACGATACCATGTAATCGTCATTGCGAGGTAATAAATTATAATCAGCTTAAACGTGCTCACCGTGAATTGCATGCATAAATAAATGGACACAAAGGGTCTCCGAATGGCCACTATCACTTTGCCCCTCTGCATCCCCCTCTGGAAATGCAGCAACCACGCCGCAGGAGAAAATTTGCTGGCTTCCGCGTGATGTGACTCCAAATCCAATCCCGGAATAGGCAATTTTATTCAATGCTATACAGTCATCTGGACAAGTTGGCAATTGCACAGTGCCTATAGCGCTCAGATTTAGAAACAAAACAGAGATGTGAAGCCCCATGCAAGGCCTAAAATGGTGAATGAGCAATCACACACGGTGGCTTCTGCCGGGGAGGATGAGGAAAAGCGGATTAAATGATATAATGCGACACAAATCCACATGTTAAAGTAAACAGAACCACTGTCGCATTGTTTAATTATTTCACTTTATCTTCTACCTCGCGTTTTGCGTGACAAATCAACGAGAATATTCTGTGGATGTTGCTCTTGGATAAAATAGCGCAGCATCAACTTCCAATCGGAAGTTTCCCTATTCGACTCCTTGACCTCATTGTCCTTTCACTTCTGCTGTTCTCTCAGGCAAATGAGTGGGACGTGAGCATGGCGAAGGAATTCAACGCCTTTGTCAAGTGTCATTTATTAATAGCTTCATATTGAAGTTTGGTATTGAAACTAAATGCTGAGACTCATCGATAAACCCACTCAGCTTAGATTTCAAATTGATGCATTCGCAAAGAACAACTTTTTATGTTTCTTTTATTCAATTGATCCTCCGTGAATGGTTTTGCCACAATTTTTTTGCAATATTCTCCTGACAAAGTCAAATAATAATTAATCAAAACGATAATTGCTTTGGAACACAAATATACACAGATCACATCGAGGAATCCCACAAAAGATTCTTCTGTATAAATACAAACATATTTACCGCAAATCTCAAACTCACTCTGATAAGAATCCACATAACAATATTCATAAATCTTTCGTACAAAATCGATGCCATTAGTTTGTCTTCTGTCGCATCTCTTAATATACTATATTGTTTCTATTAGCGAAACAAATT